GAGAGCCCAGATTTACTGCTTTCTCACTGTCTGGTCGTGGGGGCTCTCAAGGCCTCGGTCTATTTAGCTTTTAAGTAGGGATAAGAACAGTGCATTCTTCAGCGGTGTTGGGGTTACTGTAAGTGGATTCAGTGACTCGACATATGTAAAGTGTTTAGGACGGTCCCTGAGACATAGTAAATGCTATAAAAGTAAGTATTATAATTATGGTGATGGTTATTCCTAATCCAGGAGTCTGAAAATATTCCATTTTGGAAATTTGCGAAAATATTCCATTTTGGAAATTCGCTCCTTCCATGGGGTTCAGAGTATAAAAGCTACAACCTCCAAACGTTAAAACTCAATAAATTCCCTATATTTGGAAGATGTTTTAGGGCTTGTTTCTTTGCAGAAGGAGCAAGGGGGGAGGGGGCACCACGGCTTCAAGATTTAACGGTCTTGATTCAATGTTCGGATGGGCTGAGGAGAGAGAAAGAAGGCAAAAGGTTTCACATATAAATCCTGTGAAAACGCACCAATTTGAGATCGCTTAGTGTTCCTTCTCTTTCCAGCAGTCATCTTAAAGAAGAAGAGAGACTTCTCTTTAGATATTAATATTCTCACTCCGTATTAGCCCCTTGCACGGGACGCTTCTTATGGAAATCTGATGAGAGTTACTGTCACTGTTGACACTTTCGAGTACTTCGTCTTCTGTCCTGGCTTGGACCGTTTGCTAATAGTTTCAGTGTAGATCTGAATTCCTTAGTGAGATTATAAGCTCCTTGGCAAGAATAGCTAGTGATGCGTATTGACAGAGCAGCTGACCACCTACATGGTTATGTTTAGAGCAGAGATATGGTGGGAGGCGCTTTTGCCTCCATCCCCAGGGAACATTTGCCAATGTTTGGAGACATTTTGGGGTCTCACAACTGGAGGGGTGCTGCTTGCACCCTGTGGGAGAGGTTAGGAACGCTGCTAAATATCCTGCAATGCACAGGACTGCCTCTCACAACGAAGAGGACCACCATACCTTCCCCCCCCACCACCCATTTTTCCCCAGCCAGCTCATTGACTATCAGGAATTCCAGAGTTAGAGGATCATATGTTTGTCTGGTGTCGAGCCCTGTTAAAATGCCAATACACATTAGGCTTCCCCTGACACTTCTATATTAGGGTAATTTCGTCTGCCCACTATCTCTTTCCAAAGGTAGGTTTTATAAAGATAGATTAAATGACAAGAGCACAGAGTATGTCCGAAGAGAAAGGCACAGGAAAGAGCTTACTGAAACCTAAAATTAACGTCTGTTTGCTCGGGGCAGTCAGACCTTTTGTACCCGCCCCGGGAGGCCCCACACAGCTACCTGGTTGAAAACAAGAGCAAAGGGCACCCGCTCAGAGCCAGCCATTCTTTACAGAGTGTCGGTCCCCTCCCACAACGGGGGCTCCAACTGTCACCAGCAGACACCCGCTCTTGGGCCACGGTCGGCGGCAACAAAACGGCAGGCCCGGCGCTCCAGGCATCTGAGCACCGCCATCTGATCCCCCAGGCACCGAGCCCAGTCTGGAGTGGAGCGAACATTTTCAAGTTTAGCACCTCTTCCTTCTGGATCACGCTCAAAAGAAAATCAGAGACACCCAGAAGATTCGTCCAGTGTGCATTATTTATTAGTAAAAAATCACAAGGGACGACGGTGTTTATTTTCTTTCTCCTGGATTCTTAAAAGTGCATGTGCCCCTTTTGAAAGCTGTTTCAGCAGTTCTTAAGAACAATTCACTCTTTCCAGTGTGTAGTTGGAGTCGATGTATTCTCTCTGAGCTCTGAATCAGAACCGAGATTTTTTTTTTTTTAAGTTTTAAGGAAAGGAGTTTTTCTTCTCCAAAAAGAGACTTCATTTTCCATTTCACACTGATACCCATTTTTTACTGTAGTGAAATAGGCATAAAAGTTCATGTTTCTAAGCACACAGTTGACTGGGGTTAAGAACAATCCATGTGGGTGCACAGCCATCACCCCCATCCATCTCCAGAATTTGTTCATCTTTGCAAACTGAAACTCTGAACCCATTAAGCTGTAACGCCCCGCTCTGCCCTTCCCCCAGCCCCTGACAACCACCATTCGACTTTCTGTCGCTATGAATCTGACCACTCTAGGTACCTCACGGAAGTTACCCTTTTATGACCGGCTTATTTTACTTAACGTGTCTTCAGTTTTCATCCAGGAAGCATGTGTAACAATTTCCTTTCTCTCTAAGGCTGAAATGATATTCCACTGGATGTCTGTTCCACATTTTGTTTACCCACTTGTCCATCAGTGGACACTTGGGTTGCTTCTACCTTTTGGCTATTTAAATAATGCCACTTAACGAAAATGGGCATAGGGGCGCCTCGGTGGCTCAGTCAGTGAAGCGGCTGCTTTCAGCTCGGGTCATGATCTCAGGGTCCCAGGATCGAGCACCATTTCGGGCTTCCCCGCTGAGTGGGGAGTCTGCTTCTGCCTCTGCCCCCCCTCCCCTGCTCATGCTCCTGTGTGCACTCTCTCAAATAAATAAAATATTTAAAAAAAAAGAAAATGGGTATATATAAATATCGAACAATTCCTGCTTTCACTTCTCTTGGGTTCCTGCTTTCGATTCTTTCTTTCATCCCAAAGTGGGCTTACTGGATGATATGGTAATTCTATTTTTAATTTTTTGGAGGAACTGCCTACTGTTTTTCATAGTGGCTGTACCATTTTGCATCCTCACCAGCAAACAAAGGTATGAATGTCTCTACATCCTTGCCCAACACTTAGTATTTTCTGGTTTTTCCTGTGTGTTTTATAATAGCCATCCTAATGGATATGAAGTGATATCTCATTGTGGTTTTGATTTCCCTGATGATTAGTGATGTTCAACTTGTTTTCATGTGCTTATTGGCCATTTGTGTATCTTCTGTGGAGAAATGTCTTTCCAATTCCTTTGCCCCTCTTTGAATCAAGTTTTTTGTTGTTGTTGAGTTGTAAGAGTTATTTATATAGTCTGGATATTAAACCCTTGTAAGATAACTTGCAAATATTTTCTCTCAATCTTGGGGTGATATCAATTGCTTGAAGTCCTTACTTTTCTAGCATACCAAATAATGGACTCAGTCACTTCAGTAGTAAAAAGATTCTCCTTTGTCGATGATGTTATTTTTTACCCTTCCTGAAGTCAGAGAGAATGAACAGTATGGTCTTTGGATGTCCTTCCTATCATCTGTTTGTTTAAATAGATAAACAGTTCTTTCTAACACTTCTGTAAACTGAAATTTGTATTCCTCGTGGCCAGTCGAGTCAGTGAAATGTCCACTAGGTGGTACTGTAACTGCAGAATAAAGCTGAAGGTAGATTCCAGAGTTACGTTGACAAAAGACTTGCTTCACAAAAATACGGTATTTATGTGACCTTGAACACATCTGTAAAATACCAGCACCGAAGGTTAGAGTTTATCTATTTCAGCCTTCTCCCTGTAAAATGAGAAAATTGGGATCCGGTGAGTTTAAGTGACTTGCTCAAGGTCATACTGCTGGTTATTGATGGAGCCAGGCTTCCCCGCAGGACTTTCACCCCCAATCTGGTACTTCCTCTGATTCCCCGTGCCACCTCTACGTACTGTTAAAGAGTCTTCCAGAGTGTCCTGGAGTATGCTAAAGCCCTCGTTAGTGGTTAGTGTCGCTTCTTCCAGGAGTAGAGGAGACCACAGATGTGAGCAAGATAATTCATTGCTTCTGTGAAAGATGCTTGGGCTACAGAAAAGGAAAACAAAATTCCACTAGTTTACCTATTAATCTTGGGGAAACCATTTAATATCCAGGTCTTGGTACCCTTATCATTTACTTAAGAGGTTGTTTTTTGTTTTTTTTTTTTTAGATTTTATTTATTTATTTGCGAGAGAGAATGAGAGACAGAGAGCACGAAAGGGAAGAGGGTCAGAGGGAGAAGCAGACTCCCTGCCGAGCAGGGAGCCCGATGCAGGACTCGATCCCGGGACTCCAGGATCATGACCTGAGCCGAAGGCAGTCGCTTAACCGACTGAGCCACCCAGGCGCCCCAAGAGGTTGTTTTAAATGTATGCAGATGAACTTCAAACTCTGTATTATATAAAAATTGAGTCTGAGGCAGGAACTCGGAGCCTGGAGGCCTGATATTTCTGTAACTTAAACTTTTTTTTTTAAAAGTTTCTTTTTAAATTCTGGTTAGTTAACATACAGTGTAGTATTAGTTTCAGGTGTACGATGTTGAGATTCAGCACTTCCACACATCACCTGGTGCTCATCAGGACAAGTGTACTCCTTAATCCCCATCACCTGTTTAACCCATCCCCCCCCCTCCCCTTAGGTAACCATCAGTTTGTTCTCTAGAGTTAAGAATCTGT